CATATAGTCTAATTCTCTCATGTTTCATTTTCACTTTATGAAGGTGAACAGTGATGTGCGAACTTATTTCATAGCTGTTACTGCAGACATATGACTGAAGTTTCATCCTCTTTGCATGAAGCTTGCACAGGGTAACGAAATAAAATGTGTCCTCATCGTCTACATTGCTCCAGTAAGCTGTTGCTGTGTGATACTTCTTATCCTTTAAAAACACTTACTTCACACCCAGCCTGGATAAAACACCATAAGGAACCGTTTGAAAAGTTAAGCCCGTTGCCATGGCTGGTGGGGCAGCATCCCATTCACCAGAAGGCTGTGGTTCGGTGTTCGGTCAGGGCACGTACGCGAGGCAACCAATCGGGATGTCCCTCTCACATCCATGTTTTGCTCTCTAGAAATCAGTGAAAGCATATCCTCGGGTGAGGATTAAAAGAATTAAAACTTGTCCGTTTCTTAAAAGGTTGAGCATTTTCTTTCAGTGGAAAGGGGGGGGGGGGTGGAAAGGCATCAACAAATTAGTTCCAGCCGGGCCTTCCCATTGTTACAATCAATCCCAAACCTAAACGGCAGGAGGCAAGGCCTGACTTAGCAAACGCACCTTCCGAGTCGGCCTTACCTGTCCCCCCTGCGGGGGCCGGGCTGGAGTTGGGGAAGGGGTCGGCCCCGGGGCAGCCTGGTGATCTGCCATCTGATGCCACCGGGGGTGCTCCGTGGATGTGAAGCTTGGCCTTCAGGAGCTCCTCCAGGGCATGTGCTGGGACACCGGAGCTCCCGTTTGGCAGAACAGGACTTGCCGACACCCAGGAGGATGCTCGGCGCCCACTGGCCAGGGCAGGTGGCTGCTGCCTGTGAGCGCGGCCGTGCCGAGCCCCGTGGCAGTGTCTCCGCGTCCGGAGGAAGCGTAAGAGAGGCCAGGAGCGAAGCTGTGTGCTCCCTTTTAGAGAACTGGCAGCTTGTAGCCCACATTCAGGGGTCTTACTTTATCCCTCCCCCGGCCTTGGCCTACATAGTTCAGCAGGAACACATGCTGTCTTAAGGGATGATCTCGGATTTAATCAAGTGAAGCAAACACGTGACCTGACCACTTTGGACCGTTAGCGATGTGCCTGCTGGAGCCCACCCGGGCGCCTTCTAAGTGAGGGGAGTCGCATGGACCCCTGACTGTGTGGATGTCTAAGTGGGAGCCCAGGCCGGGGAACCAGATGGGAGCCTGTGCTTGGAGCCTGAGCTTTCCCAGCCCAGGGGAGGCTCTCAGGTCACAGCACAAGCGCATCCTCGTGCAGAGGTGAATGTGGATGGAGAGCGATTTCTTTGTCTGGTTATTTCCCAGGTCTTTGCTCTTAAAAGAAGGGCCTAAAGGCAAGAGGATGAGAAGTCGGTGCCCAGAGAAGCACAGAGACGAAGCTGGCCTCTAGGGGGTGCCTAGAAGCAGCGTAGGGAAGGCTGGCACCCTCCAGGGTGACGCGGGCCTTGGCAAGGCCTCCCACAGACTGCCCGCACCTGTCCCGCAGTCTCTGCAGGGGGTGTCCTGGGCCAGTCCGAACAGCTTTCTTTTCTCATGCTCCTCTGCCTTGGAAAACTTTCAGGCCAGTGAGAAAAAGTTCCATGGGAAGGAGGTCATCCCTGTAAGTCAGGGGTGGCGAAGGTCCGGCCTGGGGGCCGCATAAGGGCTGTGAAAGCATCGGGTCTGGCCCTGCCGAGGCATTAGGGGTGAGCTGATTAAGTATCTTGACCAGATACAGCAGGCTGATTTTTGTACATAGCAGTTGATAGTTTTGTATGGCCCTCGTTCATGTTATAAATATCCAATAGCCCTTGGCAGGAAAAAGGTCTGCCCTTGGTGTAATATACCAGATTGGAAGAGGGCGTCCTAGGAATAAGCAGCAAACTTGGATCAGATTGAAATTCTGAATACATTTGTGGGAACTTTTATATTCATTTATGTTTGTAAATCGTTCCTATTAAAGTCAACTCACCAGAGGAGGGACAGAGACGTCATCAAAGAGCTTCTGTCAGTCACCATCGTTGTTTTGCCACCAAGCTTCTCCCCCCTAAACCCCCCTCCCCATTTCCACTTGCCCAGCCTGACCCGTCCCATCCCGTCCAGGGGACGGCTGGACCCACAGGAGCTCCGCTTGGCTTGGCAGTGGAGTTTCCTGAGGGACCAGGTGTTTATTTTTGGTCATTGTTTTTAAAGGTATCACAGCTGCTACTTTTGATATCAAATACTAGCCTATAATTCCAATCAAAGCATTTGCCATCAATGAAAACAAAGACCCCCTCTCCTAGTGAAACTATAATAAAACTAGAGGCCCGGTGTACGGTCCCTGGTCCTGGCCTGCGATCAGGGCCATCTTCCCCGGCTGCCTGCAGCCAGCCCTGCCCCCGTCACCACCCACCGCCAGTTCCCTGTTTGCCATCGGGTGATTGGTGCCTGACAGCCAGCGTAAGGGACTGAGAGGTCAGCTGTTCCCGCCCGCCCGCCAGCCCTGCCCCCACCACAGGTCACCCTCTGTATGTGGGGTGACCGGTGGGGTGGGGACCTTGGCCTGGTGCTGTCCACGTCCCCCACCACTCAACCCCAGTTCCCCTTTTGTCATCAGGTGATTGGAGCCTGCCCGCTGGAGCAAAGTACCAAGCGGTGGTCAGTACACCTCACAGTGATTGGTCCAGCAGTCGTTCCGATCAGGCCATTGTTAGGGTCAATTTGTATAATTACCCTTTTATTATATAGGATAGAGGCCTGGTGTATGGGTGAGGGCCGGCTGGCCTGCCCTGATGGGGGCCCTGGATTAGTGTGAGGGTCCCTGCCAGGGGGCGGGGCTGGCCTGGGCGTGGGGCAGTGGTCGTCCTGGTCTCTGGTTGCTCCGCCATTTCGGTCGCTGGGCTTTTATTATATAGGATGTGAATCCACACAAGTAGCCTGTGCGTCTCCACATACTCATTCAAAAGGAAACCTTCGGCATCATACTGTAAGAATCTATAGATCTGAGCCAATGTTAACATATGCTTTTTTTTTTATTAAATATGTAAAAAGATAACCGCAAGTCCAAGGTATTCACATATTCAGCAACAAAAGGCTATCCTACCATGCGACAACGTGGGCAATGTAAAACGAATGTGATACATCGGAATAAGACTCTCCCTCTATTATGTCCTTACTTAGCTCTATTTATAATGAACAATACATCTGTTTACATTCCTTTCAGTGTACATTTCATACATAACCAAAGCTTTCTGGTGCACTGTGCAGTGAAGCGATCTGAATGCATACAGACCCTGACGGAAGAATGGCGATACTCACCGGGGAAGCGGTCATGGCTCCCTCCTGGGGTGGACTTCTCTCGGGTCAACAGGGTGTTTGTCTTTTCTGCTCAGCAGACAGGCTCTTGGCCCCCGGCTTCGGTCACTTCCTGTCTGACACGAGTAGCGGAAGCGCTATGACCAGCACGGTGTGTGTGTGGGGAGGGGCAGGGTGCACACCAAGGGTGAGCGCTCGGCCAGCCCGGCGATGGGGAGGGAATGAGGGGGCACAGCCATCGGGAGGAAGGAGCAGGCCTGGCCCACGAGAGGTGGCCTGCACAGAGCTGGGGTGCAGCCACAGGCCCGGGAACCAGCTGTTCCAGGGTCCCCCGGTCTCTGTGAGGGACCAGGAGAAGGGATTCACAGCTCTTTCCTACATGGACGAAGAGTGTGCTCCCAGACCTGGGGAGGGGAGGGGAGGGGAGTATGGTGGCCGGGGAACGTCATCTTTGCACACTCTCTGGCCAGCGTGCGGCTAGCGGAGCAGGCTGGGCTGAGGGGGAGACGGTGCGGGTGCCGGCGGCGGCGAGGCTGATGCAGGTCGCACGCCATGGTGTGCACCGGCCTGTGTCTGCAGGGCCGGCAGGAAGCTCCATAGGAACCCCTGACGTCGTCTGTGTGGTAGTATTCTGCCTCCTTAGGAAAGCTGTTTTAGAACAAGGAGTCTGTGTACAAGTGTGTGTGTGTGTGTGTTTGGGTGTTTGGGGAGGGGGGGACTAGGCATGAGCTGCGCATAGCACAGCCGCCACCTGTAAGCAGGGGGACGTCACTGCCGAGAGCCAGGCCGCAGCCAGAGCAAGCAGGAGAGAAGGGGAGTCCAGTCGCCACGGAGCCTGTCCAGTCCTCACAGCGTGCTAACGCCTCCCCACGCGCCGGCCGCCGAGGAGAGGAGGGCTCCTCCGGGAGGGCCCGGTGGGTGGGGCCGTCGGAGCGGGCCTCCGGCGTTGCACCAATAAAGAAGCGCTTTAGGATACACAGTTGAGAAATTTATTGTAAGCTTTTCAGTGAAGAGGAAAGTGGGTGGGCACACTTGTCTGTTTTGGTTGCACCTGCCGAGTCAATACCAAGCGAAGGTAAACCTAGAGTTAGGGACCGAGTGCAGTGAATGATCTGGGAAGGGAAACCATCTCTCAGAAAAAAAAAAGGAGGCAAAGGTTTGGAAAGACACTAAGAAAATGTGCAAATCTTGGTAAAAAAAAAAAAAAGGAATGCTTCTCATTCATCAGTTTCCTCGGTTTTGAACCCCCCAGTCTAGCTGAGGGCAGTGGCATGGAGGCTGCCGTATGAAGGGGAATTCCTCTTCCAGAAGGTTCCCGTCAACCTCGGCCGTAGCCCTCCGTGAACCACCGCTGCCCGTCCACGAGGCCCTCCCTCCAGCAGGTGCGTGGCACCCCGCCCTCGGGGCCCCGCAGAGCCCTGGGGCGCGGAGCTGATGACGGCTGCGGGGGGCGGCTGCCCACCAAGGGGACCCTGAGAGAGAAAACGCATGAGAACCCGGGTGGGGTGGGGGTGGGCAGGCGGTTCGCGGGCCAAGGGGAGGCTGTTTCTAGAGACGTCGCTCAAGGAGGAGCACCGGGACAGGGGTGGTGCCCGGCGCGGGTGCGGGCCGAGGGCCCGGCTGTGCTCCGTCCTTCCCTCCCCGCCGTGCCGTCCCTAAGGAAACAGGTTGCCGTCGTTATGGCTTTCGTATCAATCTCTTTCCCTTTGTCCCGTTTATTTCTTTACCAGATTCATGTCAGAGGTTAGACTCACAAACACCAAAGCACCACTGTGTGTGACATCTAGTGACACGGGGTGAGAAACGCCAATATAAATACCAAATATCAAGTTACCATTGTTCCACACCGGGGCGGGGCGGGGCGGGGGGCGGGGCGGGGGGATGAGGAGACGGAACCAATCCCGTGCCCAAGCGGGGCGTGTGCCAGGCGGCGGCGGCGGCGGCGGAGGGACGGAGCCGCGCGGCGGGCGCTGTGCCCGCAGTCCCTGGCGCCCGAGGCCGCCAGCTCCAGTTCTCCGGGGGCAAAGTCCCCACGCGACACGGGGTGTCGGCGGCGGCAGCGCGGGCGTCAGTACTCCTCCTGCTGTGGGGGCTGCTCGTGCGCCTGCTCGTCCGCTTCGGGCTCTTCGGGGGGGCCCTCCTGCGGGCGGGGAAAGGGGGGGCATTAGCGGAGACAGCCGGGGCCGGAGCAGGTGTCCCGCTCCCTCGGAGGCCTCTCCCGTGCTTCGGGAGGAAGCCACACGGACCCTGCGGGTGTCTCCCTGCAGGCTGCTCCGGGGACACACATCGGGGGCCCCCGGAGGGTCTGACACTGACAGCGGCGCAGGCCTGCACCAGCCGCCCGGCCCTGGCCTCTCCCCCGGGGGGCCTGTCGCTTGCAGGGAGCCCTGGTGAGGCTGGTGCTCAGCTCCCACAGGCTCCGATCCAGAGAGGCCAGGGGTTCCAGTGAGCATCACTTCTGCTTGTTCGCGGCCCGGAATCCAGACAGCAGCACGCTCATGTGTGTGTGTGTGTGTGTGTGTGTGTGTGAGACGATGGGGAGGGGGCCCTGCGGGTGGTGGTGTGAAGAGCAGAGAGGAGCTGTCCTTGGACAGACTCCTTTGAAATCAACCCAGGAGGCAAGACTCTGGGTCGAGGCCCGTCCTGCCTGCCCTGAGCTACGAACTCTGGCCACATCGGCCCTAAGCTTGGAGTTCCCCTGACGGGTTCCCACACCGGGACGTCGGCTGGGACAGGATCTGGCGCTTCCTCCCGTGGGGAGTGTCCACGCCTCAGCCCCACTCGCTCAGATGCCCAGGGCCGGGCCCCCCTCCAACAGCCTGTGATGATGACGGCCCAACCGGCCGTCCTGAGAGCTGCCCAGCGCTCTGCGCACAGGACCCTGCCCGCTGCACGGGGGCTGGGGGGGGGGCCTGCTTCTGGGCGGGTCGCTGTGAGCACTGGTGAGGCCGGCACAGCGCGGGGACCTTCCCGGGAGGGTCAGGCTCCGAGGGCGACAGGCCCAGTGATGACCAAGGAAGACGGCTACGGTCTCCGGGAGAAGGACAGAGCGGTGGGGCGCCCCCACACCCCAGACAGCGGCTCGCCGTTCAGGAACGGCTCGAGGCCGGGATTTTAGTCGGATGTGGAGCACACGCGTGCCCGGTGTGAGCTGGAATCGGACCAAGTGAGCCTGCCAGTGCGTGCTCCGTTCCGGGGGAATGCCGCCCCCACTCACGTGCTCGTCGGAGGCGTAGAGGACCTCCATCAGCCGCTGCACCAGGCTGTCGCTCTCCTGGCCCTGCTCCTGGCAGAGGAGCTCGATCTCCCGCAGCTTCCCAAAGTAGAAGTCCCGCTCCTTCTCCACGCCCTCCAGGGCCAGCTTCAACGAGTGTACCTGCGGGCGAGGCGGCGGGGGCGGCGTCAGACAGACAGTGTCAGACACGGAGCCCGCCGTCCGTGCGGAGCCCAGGCCGCTGTGCCCCCGCGGGGGTCACTGTGCGGCCGGGTCTGGGCCCCACGGCCACGGGCACCCTCAGAGCGCAGTCCTTCCCCGGCAGGGAGCGTGTGCGAGCGGGAACCGGGGCCCAGGCTGTCCTGCTGGAGACCGCGCCTGCCCGCAGGGGGGGCGCGGGGTGAGGAGGGACAGGCAGGGAGGCTGGTGCTGTGGTCGCTCAGATGTATTCTGAGGACGCTCGTGGCTCCACGGCTCCTGCACGGAGTCACCCTCAGTTCTGGACAAACAGGACAAACGGTCTCTCCTGGGAAGCGGGGTGCCGACCACACAGAGCTGGGTGAGACCAAATCCTGGCGGGCACTGTCCTAGCTCCTCTCGTCCCGGCTTCGTGGGCAATGGGAAGAGATGGCAGCTTGTTCCCTCGGGAAACAGTCCCCCCTCCTGCTCCGCGATGCTGGCCAAGGACCGTCCAGGCTGTGCACCCCACAGCGGTCCGGACCGCGTGCTGGTGACCGGAGGCGGCGACGGGGAGGCAGAGCCACGGTTGTCAGGCTGTCAAGGCTGAGGGAGCACTCAGGGGGTAAGCAGGCCTGGGCTCACCTCCCAGCAGCTCCACTCGGGCCCAAACCATCCCCGTTCCTGCTCCGAGAGCCTCAGAGTCTCTGCCCTTCGCGCGTTTCCTGCTCATGCAGAGCGCATCCTTCAGGAGGCAGGCGAGGCCTCTGGGGCTGGAACCCCTCCCCGCACGTGGAGACCACCCTCAGCAGAGTTTCTGAGAATGACTGGGGATGGCCTTTGTCTCCCTTTGCTAAGGGCTGAGCCTCTGTGCACACAGCCAGTCTGTGTGGGATCAGTGACGCGTTCACACGGCCTCTGAGCACACCCGGCAGGCTCCCACCCATCCTGTGGCACCCAGGGGCGAGCCCGCATCCATCCCGGGAGGCCCAGGACACTGTCCCTCGGGTCAGCTCGCTGGTGCCCCCTGGAGCTGCTCGCCAAGCAGCAGGCATGGATGTGCCAACGGTTCACTCGGATTTCTCATCCCACTGCTGCTTAAGTGCTTAAATGCTGGTAAAAACCAAAGGCAACCAGCAGCCTCAGTTCCACGAAAAGGAGACTCCCCTCGTCCTCCAAATCCTGTCTTGCTCTAACACACACTCCCCCCCCCCCCCCCCCATAGGCAAGAGGGTTGGACACAAGAACAAGGCCTGTGCGGCTCGCGAGTGTGCTCTGGTCTGCGTGATGAGCCAAGAGCCGAGGCTGCGGCAGTGAGACCTGGCCCACGTCACCCGGTGGTGTTCCAGACGCATTAGGTAATGATGCGCAGCTATAAACATCCCCCAGTAAAACCAACAGGAGCTAAATTACACGACGGAAGATCAATCGGCAGCCGGATTCCAGGCTGAAAGTCCCGTCATAAAGCCCGGTGCCTCCTGCCCCCTGATGCTCACAGCGCTGTGGGGGAGGGAGGCCAGGAAGCAGCCTTCTCCTCTCCCCCTTCTCCCCACTCACTGCCTGGGTGCCAGCTCTCTCCAGCAACTCCTACTTCTTCCAGGGATGTTCCTCCACTCCCGCCCCCGCCCCCGCCCCCCATCCTTGGGCTCATTTCTGCGGCTGGATTCGCCCAGCGGTGCTTTCCAGTGTGTGTGGCAGACGGCCTGAACGCAGGCACGGCCAAGGCCACGAGAGTTCTAGCTCACGGCACCTTCCCCTCCTCCGTTACTATGGCAGTTCACCTTCAGCTCGACCTTCACCCAGCATTCCCCTCCCGCTGTCCCGGCTCTAACCAGCGGTGCCTGGTGGCTGCCCCCGTTTCCGGGGGGCACCCTGCGAGCTTGGAGCAGCGAGGCACGTGGCCAAGGCGCTCAGGGCTGTGCTCCCCGCCTGCCACCTGAGGAGGATGTGTGTGACGGGGAATCCTATGTGGGCTCCAACGGAGACACGGCGGGTAACTCGGGCATCCTGAGTCCGTTTCTAAATCAAAGTCCGGCCCGGCGATGACGGAAGGCGTCTCCTTTTTCATTGGCGACCAGAATTGTAAAGAAACGCCCTAGTTAGCAACTGTCTGCTTTTAAACCCGGTTCTTGACTGCAAATGGACAATGATCTCAAAAACCACAACCCAGTGATGCCTCTGACGGCTCACCCAGCATCGGATGCGTCCCTGGGAAAGGCCAGGCGTGGTGGGAGCCGCCTGGGCCCGGGATGAAGGCTCCCGTCCAGGGGGCGGAGCAGCCAGGATACAAGACCCTCCTCCTCACTCGGGTCGAAGGCGTCTGCAGCGGGACCCTCCCTACCAACTGCTTTATTACTATTAAAACTCTAAAGACCTACACTGAGAGAGTCCTCCGTTTCCGAATTCAGCTCAGCTAGGGAAGCGACCACTAAACACCGCTGTCTCGATACGGGCAGAATTCTTTGTTTGAAATGGAGTCTAACCCCTCCCTTAAAGCACACCCCATGCAGAGTGGTTTCTGTGTGACGTAACGGACAAAATTAGCGCCGCCAGCTAGGAAGTACCCAAGGCAGGGGAGCCAGATTTGCTGGGACCGAGAGGAATATTCGATGGAAAGACAAGTTCTGCCGAAAAGGCACTGGGCTTTCTCATCAGCCCAGTACTGGGCTCAGCGCTCCTGGGGTAACGAGTCTCAGCCGCGTGGGAAGTGTCAGGTTGTGGCTCTCGGGTGCATGGCCACCTGCCTGACAGTGCTGTCCGCGTGGGGAGGGGAGAGAGGGCTGTCCTGCTGCCATCACATTCCCAGCATCACGTGCAGGGTCGGTCACAGAACAAGCCTGGCGCCCGCTGTGAGGAAGAGGAGGGGGACTAGCCCTAACGCCTCAAGGTCAAGACAGATAGGAGCCCCCATCTAGTCCACGGCCTAACAGACACTCAGGTGTGTGTGGTGGTGGTGGTGGTGGTGGGGAGGTGGGGAGCAGGGGGAGGTGGCCAGCAAACCCACAGTTACCTGGGCCGAGCTGTGAGACTGGTGATGAACCTTGTGTGTTCACAATGGGCCCGAACAGTCTCTGTCATTCTGACTCGTTTGCAACCACGGATTCTGCCTTACCTTCTGTGGAGAGCAGCTACAGCATTTGGGCAGGTTCAGGCCTCAGACCCACTTGTGGCAAAGCCCGCCCAACACAGTTACAGCCAGAGGCTAGGGTTGTAACCTTGACCGTATAGTCCAACCCCTCAGTCCTAGGTAGCTGAGGGAGGTGGACCGTGGGGGCGGGGTGCAGCAAGCGCTGCCTAAACAAAGCTTGATAAGAGTTCAGAGAATGGCAACAACAGGAAAGAAGCAGATTTGAAATTCGCAAGGACACTGTAAGCATCGTGCCCTTGTTTTGCTTTGTGTGCTCGGACTATAAAATAAAGATTCGGCTTACAGGCTGTGTGTGTCACTGTTTCCTCGTCCAGGCCCAGTGATCCACTGGCCCCACCTGTATTCTCTCGTCTGTTTTAACCCTTCACCGCCCGTCCTCAGTTCACCGCCGGCCGTGCTGGACGTGGTTCAAGCTTCCCTCCCCCTCACACCTGTCACGTTCCCACAGACGGGGCCAGGGAGTAGAATGTACCTGTTCATTCAGCTGTAGGACCTGTGTCTCCAAATCTTTGTCCGATTTCGATGCCGAGCCGCTGGATGAAGCCCTTTTGGCTGACGAGGGACGAGAAGGGGTGGAGCCTGGTTTAGATGCTGGACTGGACTTAGCTGCACCTGAAAGCAAGCAGAATAAATGATAAAAATTGGCAACGTGAAAATGCTGTGTAGACACAGAGCAAATGGACGATTTAGGGGGGGTTTGCTAGCATGTCTAAGAGGCACTGGCAGGGACCCCTGCCCGAAGCAGACGTAGCTCAGACGCTCGCAGGAAGGACACACGGTAAAAGGCAGTGTTGTCTGGGGCAGCTTTCACTCCTCTGGGCACTGGGTGTGCGGGGCCTTCCCCGTCCGGTAACGCGAGGCCAATGCATGTCCTCCTTCCTCTAGAGAGGGAAGAGGAGCAGACACAAAAGATTTTAAGCTTTTTTTTCTCTAAGAGGAAAGGTTTTCAGATCAGCTTATATAGTAGCACTACCAACCAAGAAAAAGGCGTTACACCTGATGAACACTGTAGAAGAAATATTAACACCGTATTTCCTGGCTTTTGTCACGGAAAGAGCACGGGGACAGCGACACCTCCGTGCAGCGGGCACCCTGGTGCCCAGGTCCTGCTTTCTAACTGTTCCTCTGCGGCAAAGGCTCCTGAGAAATGGCTGGCTGCGGGGCGCAGGGTGCGGGGGCTGTGTGTGGAAAGCAGGGTGTCAGGCTGCGGGGCCAGCTGGGGCCCCCCACGAGCCACACGGGGACAGTGTGCGTACAGAAACCAACAGAGGCTGCAGCGTGCTGGAACGCACGGGTCACCCGGACGTCTAATTACCGGGGGAAGGACGCCCAGAGGGACCTCGATAGGACACTGACAGAGAGGAAGCGTCAGAACTCGGAAAAGCACAGACGCGCAACGGGTTCAGGAAAGGCTCCTCCTGGGCTCGACGCCATTACAGGAGATGTTTTGGGGAATAAGTCACACGTGTCGAGGTACCTCACTTCTGTTACAGGGAAAACACACGCCTTCACAGTGGCGGGATCGGAGGGCCAGGACCCTAACCAAGTGGTTCCACAGCATCGCCTCTAATGCTGTCAATTGGAAAAAAACAAATCAACAACAACAAAAAAGGCACTGATTTCAGGTCAGACCTCACCCCCTGGAGCTGGGCTCACACGCTCCCTCTCTGCCTGGACCTCGGCACGGACAGGGACGTGACCTCGCAGCCCAGCAGCCGGGACAGGGACATGCACGAGGCTTCTGTCCTGCAGGATTCAGACACTCAGGCCCTCGCCAGGCCCACCCCCTTGCTCTGAACTCGTCCTGACGTGGTGGCATCAGTGGCATCGCGCTGGCCGAGGTGCCCCTCCTTTGGCCCCGTCCCCAAGTCTCCATCCCCCCACGCTGATGTCTCTGAAGGCTGGATGGGGTTGGGGGGCCGGTGGGAGAAGGCAGGAACAGGCCCGTCAGCTCTGCAGGGCTTGGCGGGGCGCCTCTTGGTTGAAGGAACAAATGAAATAAATATATAAACAAGCGAGTAAACCTGGTCAGGTGGCTTACAGTTTGTTTCCCACTCACAGTGATCAGTAGCGGCAGAGGGTTGCAGAGGGTTATAAGGTGCTGACGGCAGTTAAATCCCAAACTCGCTCTTCCTAGTGATCACAGGTAGGAGCAGGTGGCTATAGAGCGTGGATCGGCGTGTCTCCGGGGCTGGAGCCATTAGTCGTGGTGAGAGAGTGCGCCCTTGGGAAGCGGCAGCATCTTACCCGGTGGATCTCAGTGACAGACGCCTGACTGGTTTTAAACAGGAGCGTCACGGGGAGGACCGGAGACGGTTTTGATGCTCAGGGTGACCAGCCCGCGGTGACCTGACGCGCACCTGCGCAGCCGAGGCCTCTGGGAGCCGCATTCGTGCGAGGACCCCTCCTCTCTGTGGCCCCACAGGGGCTCCGGGACTCCGTGTCCATGGCAGTAGCCAGGTTCTCTGCCCAAATGCAGGCCCGGGGAGGAGACGGGGGAGGGGGCGGGGTGGGAACACGCCTGCAAGGAGCCCTCCACCTGCCACTGAGCGGGGGAGGCAGATCCCGAAAAGCCAAGTTACTTCAGCCCTCTCTAGAAGCGGCACATGTCCACTTTAGTACACAGAACGCCCGGCGAGAGCAGACCTGACTGTCCATGCAGCGAGTCCCACTCACCGAGGCCACGTCCACCCGGTGCCGGGAGCCCCAGAGGCCCACCCACGGGTGCTGTGGGGTCTGCAGCGCCACACAGGAAGGCAGCCCTCGGGGACCCCAGAGTCTGCCAGGGCTGGGCTCGTGCACAGGACGCCTCTCGGGCAGCGGCCACGGTGGCCGTCACAGACCCAGACTTTATTCCTGGAGCCACCGAACACTCCCGTTTCCTCCTGGCGGCGCTTGCTGACGCCCTGGGAGCATCCTGAGGGGCAGCCCTGCCTGCCCAGAGTCCTTTCCCCCGTCTGTCTCCCCCTGCACCCCCCAATTCTCCCTGTCAAGCACGAAGGGGTTTCAGGAGCAGAAAACAGACCCAGACTCTGTCCAGGTCCCTGTCACTCTCTGGCTCGACCCAAGGGACCCGCTGTGATTCCTGCTGCCGGCCTCTGCGCGTGGGTCTGAATGAGTGCCCTGGTGACGGGGGCTTGAGCACGAGTCCACGACAGTACACCGCGGTGACACAGCGGCCGGGGCACCCCGTGTCTGCCAGTGACGAGCAGCCTGCGTAACGTCTGTGGGAAAGGCCAGGGCACCGTGGGCACCCCAGGCCCTGCGACCTCGGGGCGAGGAAGCAAATAAAAGGCCTGCGCTTGGCTTACCCTCCACGGCCGGGCGCTGATGGAACTTAGGAATTCTTCTCACATAATCTACCGTATTCTGTCTGCCAACATCATAAACAGAAGAGCTAAAAATACGGCATTAACGCTGCTGGCAACAAGCGCAGGGACATCGGAAGTGTGCGCGCGCGCACACACACACACACAGACAAGCACCCGGCCCCCCCCCCCCCCCCCCCCCCCCGCCCCCCAGCCAGCCCTGCTCTGAGGGCCAGTCCCTCGCCCCGGGCCTTCACTCAGCTCAGAAGCTCAGAGGCGGAGACGGGGGTGGGGAGGGCAGGTCGAAGGCACACGCTCCCAGTTAGGAGACAAGTCCTGGGCGTCCGGGTGGCCCGGTGACCAGCGTTCATGCCTCTTGTCCACGTGAGAGCTGCTAGGAGAGCAGATCTCAAACGTTCTCCTCATGGGAGACAGCTGTAACTGCACGGGGTGGCCAGCCTGCAGCCTCTACAAACACCAAGGCCTTGGGAAGTACACCTAGGTCAGCTCTGTCTCCTAAGAACGCACCCCACCCCAACCCCTCCCCTCAAGAACTGACGGCTGGCAGAGAACACACCACACCCACTGTGGGCAGCTCTGACGTGACTGCCTTGTCCCCTGTACCTGGGCAAATAGATTTCCCTTTTTTTTTTTTTTTTTTTTTTTAGCAGAAGCGGGTGAACGGGGGAGAGATGAGTCGATAGAGAGAGAGAGACACTGATTTGCTGTCCCATTCGTTTATGTAGCCACCAGTTGCTTCTTGTAGGGGTCCTCGCTAGGGACCACACCCACAGCCTTGACGTCTCAGCACGATGCTCTGAGTACCCGGCAGGGCTGGATGTTATTTTTTAAACTGAGATAATGAGCTGCGTTAACATGTCAGTACATAAAGCCGGCGCCAGGGAGAGCCAGGGGGCTGCACAGCTGAGAGGAGGGAGTTCCCACGGAAAGGGTCCTCAGTGCCGGACGGCTCCCCCAGCTCTGACCACTGTGCACCCAGGATCTGGCCCTTCCCGCCGGAAGTGGCTCCACTCCCGCACGCTGTGACGGTCACCGGGGAGGGCAGAGAGCCGCCTGCGGTGGCCAGTGCGAACGGGACCTCGGCGGGGCGGGAGAAGCCTGCTCCGTGCGTCACTCAGAGGCCGGCTCTTTCATTCTGAGAGGAGCTCACAGCCCCCGGGGCTGTGGACCCAGCGGTAACGTCTGCCTCCTCCTTGTCGCTCCTTCAGCGTCAGCTCCTGGCAGTGGGCAGGACTCCCTTCTGAGCGGCGTGGGGCACTGCACACACCGAGCCTGAGCCCGGTGCCCGGGGGAATGAGGGCCTGGGGGGAGCGGGCGTCCTTCATCTGGCCCCTCGGGGGCAGCGGCGAGGGCAGGGAGGGCCCTGCAGCCTGTGCCTGCACAGGAGACCTGGCCCGGCTCCCTGCCGCCCGGGGCACTTGCCGTCACAGTTTGTGTTCGGGAGGAAGAGCGGGGCCCCCTCCCAGAGCTGGGAAGGGTTAACAGCTGGGAAGCTGGTACCCGGAGCTGGGCACACAGGAACTGCTCAGTATCTGCCAGCCTCCTTGACTGTTACTCAGCCAGAGACCGGACTCAACCAATGACGAAAAGGTGCACAGGTCCCATTCCTACACACCAGCAAAATAGGAACTAAGCTGCTGAAATAATAAGGGAGCAAAACTCACTTTACTTAAAGAAAGAAAGCCTTTAGCCAGGCCAGCGAGGCTCAGTGGCTGAGCGTTGGCCTGTGGACCAGGAGTCATTGATTCCCGGCCAGGGCCTAGGCCTGGGTTGTGGGCTAGATCCCCAGTGGGGGGCATGTAGCAGGCAGCCGATCAATGATTCTCATCACTGATGTTCCCTCTCCTCTCTCTCTCTCTCTCTCTCTCTCTCTCTCTCTCCCTCTCCCTCTCCCTCTCCCTCTCCCTCTCCCTCCCTCCCTCCCTCCCTCTCCCTTCCTCTCTGAAATCAATAAAAATATGTATTAAAAAAATAAAGTCTTTGGAAAAATTCACCGGCCAGTGGGCTCTGGGGCACAGGGTCCCACCCCACTCACTCTGTCCTGCACCCCAGGGTGCCGCAGTGCAGGTCCCTGAGCTTAAACCGCCGATGCCTCCGTCCAGGCAGCAGGGGGCACTGGCCCCTCACACGCCCGCACGCTCGGACACTCGGGTAAGACGGGGAAGGAAATGCCGAAGGAGCCTTCCCTGTGGGACCCCCACTCTGACGGGGGATCCAACTCTCCAGCAGAACGTCATCAACCCGCAAGTGGCCTGGCAGCGAGAAGGGAAGTGCTGTGGAGGA